TATGAGGACATTTTTACTTATTTGTTTTTCTACAGAATTATTGTTCCTTATGATTGAAAGGAAAAAAAGATATTTATATTCCTTTGTAACATTTGAATTCTTATTTCTTTCAACAGTAAGCTTAGGAAAACGTTAATTATTCAAAAAACGTGTCTAATATCTGTGTAAACGCGTGTTTGGACTTCCACTCATTTAAGTACCTCAATCTTTTGTTCTTTGTATACTGATTAGAGAATTCAATTGTGTAAAGTATATTTTTAATTATAATGTATATCCTATTGCATATATTTTTTTCATTCCTCGTTTGGAAAAATCTTGCGACCCAAAGCTTTCAACGCGAAACGATATTCTTGGTCCTAACAGACCGCCTCTAAATTCTTTGGATTTTTCCAATCTGTCAATCGATAATTTCGACGGCAAATCACATTGGCCTTACCGTTTTATAGATTTATGACAGACCGATAACGCGAAACGTGTGCGAGACTATGCGAGATAAACGTAGTCGCGCGAGCAAACGGCACAATATCACCGATGTTCTCGCTGGCTGACAAACACGCGTTACCTGCATTGTGTATACACGCGTATCAATATATTACACCAGACCACCTTATCTCAAGCGTGCGGTATGCGCTCGCTGTATAGAAACATATGATTTATTTCTGATAATCCTGGCAAGAATGAGACAGCCTTTGCGGCGTGGAGTGTCTAATCTCTCTTCGTGCTATCTCAGATTATCCCAATCGGTCCTCTATATTGCCCGGATTACAGATTTCTCTCGCTTTTTTTGGTCGATTCTTGGTATAACTGAACAATCGATATCTCGTTATTGATAGATCTTGCAGCGATTACCGAGAGTTACGGAAATGATACATCATATCGGATATAACAATAAATTTATTGTTTCGCAAATATTTACTATAATTAAGAATATAGAAATATGTTGCCAAATTTTCATTACTAACAGCCTTTTCTTTTCTCTTTTTGGATTATTAATTTTAATTTTTTTGTAGAGAATAACGTTATTATTGATATATTTTATTTGAATTATTGGCATACTTTATTTCTAACATCACATTTCTTAATATCAATAAATTTAATACTATCGTAATTTAGATAAATTTTACCTTAATTTAAAGACATACTTTAGACTACACTTATAATAAATGTAATTACAGTGCAAATATTTGTTATTATCGAAAAAAATTCTAACGTATGTCATACTTTGTCTTATCTTATTTATCACTATTAACAAAGTTTTATTTTGCATTTTATTTCTGATTAGATTTTTGTCTTTATTCAACAATAAAATGAAGAGATTGACGCATGTACAATATGATATCGATGTAGAAAAAATAGATTTGATTTAGCTCAATTAAATTGAATGATTAGATAGGTTCTACACTCATTGTAAAGCTCGGATTTTATCAGACCTGTGTAAGAAAATCAACAAGGATTACAGTATGATCATTTATGATCGGTCGAACTGCAACTTTTCTTGACAATCGCGATTTATTTCTCATTGCCATTAGTTACAGACTTCTTTTTTACATTGTTACGATATTAGAAATTGTTAATCTTCAGATTATTGAGCAATAAAGCAAATGTGTTTTGTATGTTTTTATCTATATTTGTAACTTAAAACGTCATAATAACTTTATATATGAATTTTATAGATGTAATATTAAACTATCAATTTTAACAATTTTAATTGTTTTACATTCAATTCGCTTACATTCTACTCATTGGTGATCTGCGTGAAAAAATTGTTGAATAAATTGTGTCATCTTTAATATATAAATCTCTTAGTACGACAGTATAATCGTGCCGATATTAATTCGATATACCGCATAGTTTTTGACATTCCGTACTCCAAGCAACGAACGAGGATTTGGCTTGTTTAATTAATCATCGGGATGGCGAATTGGCGTGAAGTCTTCGAACTTTAATCCTCCACCGGAACGATCAAAGAAACCAACCAGGATGGATGGCGAATGTTCGGGGATAGGAATGCAGGTTTCGGGGAGAAAGAGAGCGAGTAATGGCCAAGGCAAGGTTGATAAATAGGAGGAGGGTTTCTCCTCCTTTCTAATAAAGACGCTCTTGTCGAGGGGTTGATCTTTCCTACGAACTAGGAATACTAAATTTGTCAGGACTTGAGATGTCATTGCAGCGTTAGTAGCTGACGGGGTAACGATGCATAAACGATCGAGAAAAATACCCAATTGATTCACAATAGTGATTTGCATCACTATTTTTTCACATGGGATTTTACGTAGACTGTCTTTCAATATCAAATCGTAATCGATTTAATTGAATAGCAGATGTTTTTGTTGGATCATTTTAACATTTTACATTATATTTTTAATATAAAATAAAATAAGAATTTATCATAAAACATATTTGATAGAAAACGTCTTTATTATTACAAACATGTAATATAAAAATTAATGTTTGATACATATTAAATGTTATACATGTAAAATGTTTTACATATTACTGTACGTCTAGATTAATTTTTAATACAAGAGATTAATAAATTATATTTGTTTAACTGTTTTAGTATTATGTAATTGTCTTTTTTTAGGAGGATGCAATGTTCGTTTAATGTTTCCGAGACTGTGGGCACCTTTTGGGAATGCCACGGAAGTTACGAATCTGCCACCTTTACCAAAGAGTCACTCGGGTAAGTGCATCATAGAAGAGCCAATAATTCGCTTTATCAGAAGTTCGTATAATTACAATTAAATTATACCACGATAAAAGGATTTTTTAACATCACAATGCAGTAGTGTACTCTTGACTTACTGAAAAAGTTCTAAATTTTTATATTTTACTGTATCATATATTTCATATTATTTTCATATGATATTCCTATATAGAAATGAAAAACAATAGAAAAAGCATTTATAAAAATAATTTGGACTTTGTCCTAATAATAATGCTTTTCATTAACAAAGAAATCTTTTATCAAAAGTTAATGTTATGATTACATTTTAAATTAAAATGTATCGAGTATCAAATTATGTATTGTACATGTCATTTTGCGCGAGTTTACTTGTTACTGATTATTGTTGTTTATTACCTCACATCGTTTGCTGCAGATTTATTATGGATACCACGTATATACATTTTTATAATAAATATTATTAATTCTGTTCGCGTTAAATGTTTGAAGAAACTGCGCTTACGACGCGGAGTCGGCGCTTTAAACACACAATCGTCGCTGTACTTACATTTGCCGTTGCTTTCTACTTCTCTTCGGAAGGTGTAGAAGGGCGGGTGTAGAGTCGACCTTTCGCCTCGTAGTGATGATGGCTTCCTCTTCAGCCCGGATGACGGCAGGTTTTTATTTACCGATCATTAAGAACGACCGGTCGTCGTCGACGATTGGGATAAATGGTAGCACGCGTCATACCACGCACAGACATGGGCCTTTCTAACTCCTGCCGGCCCAATTGGAGCGGATTAGAGGCGCGGGTACAGGGATTCGGTCCGTCGGCTCCTTTGTGCTTGTACCTACCCTGAATTAGTAACATCTTGTCATGTTAAATGTCCGTGCATACTCTCTTCCTACTTCTTCCGCGCGCGTGCACGTGGCCATTCATCTGCCCCGTTCATTCTCAGACATGATAAGATCAACCGCGTTACTACTTTTATCGCGTTTACGTCGCCGCCGCTCTGCCAAGATTTGCGTCGCGCAAACATAGTGCTGCTTGAGCAATATCATATTATTATTTATATAGACTATCACTGCTATCTTTATTATAGAACGTGCAACAGATCTAGAAAATCGTAGAAAGAAGCTATTTTAAGACAAGTAAGCGGAAATTTATTCTATGATTTGTTAGAATATTGTGCTGATATAATGAAAATCCTCAACAATCTTGAAGTATAGTAAATAACGAGATAAATATTTTTTTTAGCATTTTTACAAGCAAATGAACTTTAGTATTTATTTCCTTCTAAAATTTTTAATTGAATGATTTTGAAATGCAGATATTACATATTGATAATAGAAATAATTTTATAGCATAAAAATATGTACCTATATTAGTAGCGCGCTGCCTAAATATTAACCTTTTAGTATAAATGACTTTTCGGTTGTTTAATTCTACACATAATGGTCATTCATATCTCGGATTAACTTTTATTGCTTTAACAAATATGCAAAAATTATTAAGTGATTCTTATATATACAATACTTTTAAGCTTGAGGAAGTATTTGTAAGATTGTGCATTTAAAAAAAAATTGTATATAAATATTGTAATTAATTACTTGATGCTCCTAGTTTTTTGAAGAAAAGAAATATGCAGGAATGATACAATCATGTGTACTAAAAGTTAAGAAAATATAACTTTAGAATTTGTAAGTACGTATATTATTTCCGTTTGACGTTGAATAGATAGGAAGTAAAATTTTTATTTATATTCTTGATTAATATGTGAGATATCTTTAATGAGTAAACTCGATCGACGATTTCAGTGTATAAATGTTTCTTGCGAATTGATAAGACGACTCTTGAGGGGATGACGATACCGAAGATGGTTGTGGACGTGGATTAATAAAGGAAGGCCAAGTCGGGAGGAACAATTAGATCGAGTTAACGGCCAACTTTAATCTTCTGTCGTCCGTCAGTCGTTTACTGCGTAGTGATCTGCCGCTATTAGAACTGTTATACCCTTCAAACCCCTTCCGTGCTGACGATTCATGGAAAAAGATACGCGTGACCTTTGCCGCGCAAGCGATGTCAATAGAGCCGAGTGACAGGACGATGTGGGTTTTCAAAAACGGATTTTTCATCCAGCCGTCAGTGGAAGTTTAAAGTTAATCCTATCATAAGAAGCAAAATATCAGGGTGTACTTATGAAAAAATTTAAAAGAAAAGATTTTAACTCGAATTGATTTAGACAGAAGATGACAGATTGCGATCTATTTTAATGATAAATACATGTGTTAATATTTTTAATAATATAATTTTTTTTCATTCGATCGAAGTAAATCTTGATACTTAATTTATGTGCAATTTTTTTGTAAACTAAACTTATTATAATCTGCGCGCCGATTCAATTTATCGGCCTTACAATGCAATCGCAAACTAAAGTTAAAATATTAATGTTCAAATTAAATTGATCAATTAACAATGATACTAAACGAATATAAGTATCTTAAAAACCTGAGAAGAACTTATTGCAAAAAAGTATCACTTCAATTAATAATTAAATCTGAAAAATTCGTATCCTGACAATCTCGACTCTTCGGGCGACATGTTGAAATGACACATATTGAATCTGTGCGCAGTTTCATAAAACTGAAAAACGTATTTGCAAAAATTTATATACAAATATTCTTAAGCATCATACTGTTGAGATTCACTTCAATTGAAAAAATAGAATTATTTCTCTTAATTGACTTATTCTTACCGATCCAATTTCTACTTATAATTGTTTCCATATTTAAAAAAAAAAGATGTTTTCTCGCTGGTTGCTGGCTATTGCGATAAATATTTCTACATATCTTGATGATCAAATTAGTAGACTGAAAAAATTTACTAAATCTTAATACATATTTTTTTTAGTAATGAAATTGATGCAAATGACAGTATAACACAATTGTTGGAGAGTAATTAAATTATACTGTTTTGTGTAGTATTTATTTGAATATATATTTCAATTCGAACGTTTCGACTTTTTTTTGAGTCATCATCAGCGATAGTTCTTCAAATCTCTGACACTTCCCTTATACAACCATAGGTAGCCACTTGGATAATCTCAAGTGAGGTGCATGAATTTCATTGTACTTTTTATTAAAAATTCGTTAGATGAGTGAAAGAAGCGATTAAAAACAAGTGTCAAATATTATAAGAATAATATATGCATTCGTGTAAGAAACATTGTAAAAACATATCATTAGTTAGAATAGAATAAAATAACACGTGTTGGTCATATTACACGAATGCATATATAATATTCGAGTAATATTTGATATTTGTAATATTTGACTATATCAACAGTCTCAATTTTGTCTTGCCTTAATCAACACATGTTATTTTATTATATTTTAACGATTTTGGCGATTTTGTTTCAAGTCCTATAAATCGAATCGGTTTGCAGTTTATAAAATACAGTTTAAAAAAGGTGTTTGCAAAAATATACATATGAATATTTATTAAGTATCGCTTTAACAAGAAATAGGATCATTTCTCTTAAGTAAAATCATTTTATTTTATACGATAACTCAAGTTACGTATAATATTTAATGAACAAATTGACAAGTTCTTACTTTGGCTCGCTCACCACCGGGTTTGTACGTCGACATTCTGGAAACTTTGTCTTGCTCATCCCGTAAGCAACTCCGAGCACTTTACGCGAATATAGCGAACGCGCATCAGTGGTAGAACCGTCCGCGTCCGGGCAAAACGATCTTGAAGTCGATTCAAGAAGTTTCATTCACTGTATCGAGAGGCTGAAAGCCACTACAGATCACGTGACATGCATCTCGAGACAGTGCCAGATGCATGTGTGTGCGTAAACACGCCTAGATTCGCAGATCCCGATTCAAACCCGGACCAAAGTTAAGCCCATCTGGATGGTCGTCAACCGTTTTTCTTACGTTGCAGTTTGCATCGCCAGTTTTTAATGCATTCCAGTCGACCCAGACGTAGCATTTGCGTAAGCACTTCTTCCTATCATGCTGCGAGACACATCTGTCCGAGCTTCCTCCTTCTTTTTTATCCATTTTTATCTCGAGCTCCCTCTATTTTCCTGATAATGAACCGAAAGCGATGTAATAGAATTGTTTTCATAATTATCACAAAACCTTAGTTCTTAAAAAAATATTTAATAAAATTAAGTTTTATAATGTATTTATACTTATAGTATCCACAGTATTAAATTCGTCGTGATTAAATTTTAAAACCCATGTCTTTGAAAATGTTTTAAGCCTTAGTTAGTCGCACGAAAATATGTCATTTAACAAAATAACTTAGGCTTATGGCAATCTTACGCGACTAATAAAAATTTAATTAAAATAGAAAAATATTTAGTAATTTAAATTTACCGGCCCATAATTTTGGCATATTTCAATAGTTAAATTAATGTTCAAAATTACGAAGCATTGCTTTTAATCTGATCTGTTCATTTATATTATAATAAAATAATGTATATAAATATTCTCTTGCGACTTATACAAACACATACACACATGCGCACACAAATGTGCAAATTTTGAATTTAGGATATTATATTGCTTCGAATATATGTTATAGAACCAAGAAAAAATTTGGATGTAATATTAGTAATTTCATTTAGCCCCTCCTTGTTTTTTCCTTTGTGCTTTTGACCGGTGCAGTAAAGTACCTATCTGTTTTCTCGGACAGATCCCCGCAGGCGCGAGGCGCGTTTCTCATTACATTAGGCCACTCTGACTCGAGTCGTATTTTGATTCGATTGCAAAGCCACCAGGAGACACGATAATAATCGACCCCAAGGATGAGGCTCGCGGAGAGCTTTAAATGCGATTAGCCGACACCGCGGTGCATCATACGAGCTGGCACGTGACCGCGTGTCGCGCGTACGGATTATAAATATAATATACCGGGTGTGTGCGAGAGACGCAATATGAGTGATCCGAAGCCGAAATTGCCGAATGCCGAGCATCGAGAGGGGGCTGTGAGATACATTCTCGAGATCTCCGCCCTTATTTCTCTCGTAACGAGATGAGATGCACACGTGCCCGATTTCCGATTCATCCGACACCGTAAATCACAGCGAACTTTGATTATTAGACAAGTCCCACATTTCTGGATAATAATCAAACATAATTCAACTTTAAATTGTAACGATTTTATGTTAAAAATTTCGCACTGTCTGCCTCTGTTTGTAGGATTTTGCAATCGGAATCTATTTCTTCTTAATTAATTTTAGAGAATATACAATACTTTAAAATAATTTACATAACCTTTTTATTACAATTTAACCATTAGAAATTTTTCAAAATTAATTGTATTTAATTTACAGTATAAATTACAGAGTACAAATTAAAAAATGATTTATTAAATCTTAATACATATTTCTCTTTATGCATATACACTTTATACATATATATTTCTGTATACATATTTCTAAACATTTACTCAGAGTAAATAAATATTTACTCAATAAAAATAAATAATAGTTAAATCAAATTAATAATTTTTATATCAAATATGTTTACATTTAGTAAATATTTACTTAGAATTATTCAAGTACATAAATATTTATAAAAAGTTTAGTTTTTTTCAGTGCATGATATTTTTTGAAATATTTTATACCTTTTTTTATATTTAATACGTAAATTACCTAAAATGATGCAATTTAAATGAATTATTCATATCTGCGTTAATCATATCTTGAAATCAAATCTAGATTTCTCCGAAAGTACTCGTCAAATAATGATAACAAAATAAATACATTCTACACGTTTAATCTAACAAATACATCAAAATTTATGATTGAATCATATTTCGTTTGAACCGATCGACAGATAAAATGATGCGACGTACAAATCAAAGCTGCGTCGGAAATCATCGGTTTGATAATCAGAGAATACAGTAAATTCCGATTGACAAGCGATACCAAAATTGCGATCCGATGCAATTTGCAACTGTCATCGTGAAAATATTAATTTAATATTTCAATAATAATAAATGTTTAATTTTCTCGTTATATATTAATCAGCCATGGGATGTTAGAGCCGTAATTACATGACATATACTTGTATGTATTATCTGTTAGATAATCGCACAATCATTAACAGTAGGACATGATGTAATAATAATATATTTTTGTACTATTCTCTCTCTCTCTCTCTCTCTCTCTCTCTCTCTCTCTTTCTACAACTATTATGTTAAGCGAAGGTATAGTTAGAATATCGAAATTCCTGTTAAGCATAAAATATTTTCCGTCGTTTTATTACTTAAGTATGATGCCATTTCACGCTGTAACGCGTAAAGAGTTAATCATGACTCACACATGGCACTCTGTGCGTCGGATGAAATATTCCGAAAGGGTGCGCCAGGGATTTCATTAAGGACACTGCTTCACACGAAACGTCGCGGAAATACATTTCGCTCTCGGCACCTCACTATTCGGTTCTTTCCTCGCGATACCTCGTTAGCGCAACATGAGACCCTGTCACGACCTCTCGTGCCCTGTCCGTCCCTTAAACACCCTTGCACCAGCATGCTAGGAAAAAAAGGCCCAGTACGTGACTCAAATCTCATTCCGACCGGGTCCTTCCGCCAGAAGAAACCGTATTTATCCGTGGCCTTCTTTTTTCCGTGGCCTTCTTTTTTCGGATTCCCCTGCACCTAGCGTCCTTCGCGTATCTCATACGTGACGTAGCTACCGTCCGTCCAGTCATTGGCCATCTTGCTCTCGTGACTGGTATATGAACTCTGGTTTATCGACTACAAAATATCATGTCTACTTGGAGATGCGAAAAATCCATACGAGACGATCATCGATTTCTTTGGCGCAACTGAGCTTGATATAATTTTTAAAATGTAGAAATAAAAAATTAATCAGACAAACGAACAATTACAAAAAATTAGACATAATTCAATGCAATATTATATTTAATTATCATTGAATGGTGTATTATAGAACGGTTATCTTTCGGAGTTGGTCGTCTGGTGGGCTCGCCGGCGACAAGGAGTCCCTCCCCGTCTCAATCTCCTTGCCCGGATTCTCCTCCGCCCGATGGTCGGGACGCCGAGGTGGACGTCGATGTCGGTGAAGAGGAAGTCGATGTGGACGTTGAGGAGGTTGGTGACGAGGATGATCACGAAGGTACCTCAAGTCCGCCACGATCGTCGTCAACGCCATCGCCATCGCCAGTTAGCGTCGCGACGTCGCCCATATCGCATCCGCCGAAGAAATCCGGCGACAGTTTCAGTGTGTCGGCACTCCTGAGGCCGGATCCACCTTCCGCACACTTGCAGAATGCATCCCCGCATCGAGAATCCGCTTCCATGGGCGCCCATCCACCACCACCCGGCTCGTCGATCCTGTACCCACCGTTGCACCTTCAGAGCGGTCTCCTGCCACCCCATCCACATCATCCTCTCTCGTACCTGCATCCCCAGCTGCTACCGCATCATCTTCTGCCGCCGCACCTGCACCCGTTGTTGCGCGGCGTTCATCCGGCTCACCCGGGACTGCATTCGACTCACACGGCACACGGGTTGCACCATCCTCATCCGCTCGGCGATGTCTACAGCTGTGTCAAGTGCGACAAGATGTTCAGCACGCCGCATGGGCTCGAGGTACATGTGCGCATTCGACGCGTGCTTTTTTCCAGACCTACTTGTTTTGATTTATTTCTGATTTCCTGCTGATCCCGTCCGTTCTTTATCGTCGCGATAATTAATTTCTATATTTTGCAATAATTTTCAATATATCAAAAACAATGTCTTTTTATTTTTACACTACGTAAAATAATATGTTATTAAGAGAAATTACCTCACTCGTATTTATGAAGGCATTATTTTAAACTTGATGCAAGTATAAAATTCGAAACACCAACACACAACCTATGACACAACAAATAAGTGATAAAAAATTACATCAAACTTATATATATATATATATATATATAAATTGAATTACCTTAAATTGCTAGCTATAATAAGATATATTGAAATTACAAGTGAAATTTGAACCGAAAAATATAAATAAATGAAATAAGAGAAAGAATTCTATTTTCGCTCAAAGCGGATCTTGGTGCCTGATAATGTTTATATGAAAATTCGCAAATGACATATAAAATATATTGGTTTACGTAGGTTCATGCGAGGCGGTCACACAACGGTAAGCGACCATTCGCCTGTGAGTTGTGCAACAAAACCTTCGGCCACGAAATTAGTCTTACGCAGCACAGGGCTGTGCACTCCGCAGAGAAAGTGTTCGAATGCAAGCAATGCGGTAAAGCCTTCAAGAGATCCAGCACGCTCAGCACTCACCTTCTAATCCACTCGGACACAAGACCGTACCCTTGTCAGTTTTGTGGCAAACGATTCCACCAAAAGAGCGATATGAAGAAGCACACGTATATTCACACCGGTAAGTATAATCTACAAATTTTTTTATTCTAAAATTAAGTTTAGAAATATTGATTTCTCATATAACAATTTCTTTCAATAATTATTTATATCTATCTCGTACAATTAGAAAATATATGATAAACTCAAAAAAATTAGTGTGCTTTAATATTTATACAAATTATTAGCTATACCTCCGATAAAAATATATCTTATGAAAATACTATATTACTGTCGATATTAATTTCCGTAAACGATTTCAACGATTTTATTAATAAACTTATGAATTTCTCTATTAAGTCTAATAATTTTATTTACTACATGTTCCACACACGAACATGAACATAAACTATATTCCATTGGTTCTTACGTCGCTTTCCATCCAATTGAATGGAAATACTAAAATTAGTCGGATTGAATTCGCTTGGAACGCAATTATCTCATCTTTTGGACAGCTCGTTAACTTTCGCGAATGTTATACGGAAATCGTACTCGTGATTCCGATGGGTACCGTTATCGAGGGGACGTAAGGGATCAATTAGTCCGGCAAGTTCGTGCGATAAATAATGCAGCCAACCGTCTGGACCGAGTCCTTGTGAGAGGATCCAGTTGAATATAGCACATGTGGCCAATGCATTTCAAGGATGCCGAGTCCCACATTGCGAGTTTCACTCGGTAATAATCGTAATGTCTCTTTCGGGGGTCTCCCCCGTCCCTTCTGTATTTAACGTTCACGTTCCTTGCTCCCACGATTTGGGGTGGTATCATAGCCTTCCTAATCTTGGAATGGAACTTTGCCGTGACGCAATGTAGTGTCTGTACAAGTGCGTAATCTTATTTTACGAAGTTGGTATTTTGACTACTGGTTGTATTTAAATGATAAAAATGTTTCTTTGATTGAAATTAAAATTGAAAAATCATGTAGCTATTAAATTAGCTAATAATATTTTTCTTTGGCATTTATAATGAGAACTACCTTTGGAGAATTAGAATTATATTTTTCATATACAGGGTATCGTGGGAGGGAAAGAAATGAGATGATCTTGCTAAAATGCCATTTACATCTAAAGAGCAATTTCAAACTATTAAATCTTTTATTATTAAAAAAAAAATTTAATCTTAATTATTAAATCTTCGTACAGCAACTGTTGTTTTTTTCTTGTATCTTTGCGTATTTATCTTCGACAGTACGCATCAATGTCGGACGCGTCGAACGTGTGTGTGGGGAGGTCGGAATAAAAAAGTTGAGGGAGTCGCAAAGCGGTGGCGGCAGGACACTTGACACTTTGGTGTCTCCCGGTTGATGGAGCGGAGTCTTGAAGGAAGGTTTCTTGGGGATGGAAAGAGAGAGAGAGAGAGAGAGGGGGGGGGAGGCAGAGAACAACGAAGGAGAGAAGGCCGCCTGGAGGGTTCCAGTTGAGGCTCTGGGTTTTGTATCGTCTCCATGGCAACCCCTCCCGATGTCTTATCAAATTATCACCTTGTCCTCCCCCACGCCACTCCATCCTGCCGTCACTCCGATGCCCTCCGTCCCTACGATGCTCATTCTACGGCCCCCCTCCTCCCCCAAACGACCAAAGGACTTAATGTAGCAGGATACAAAACCATGGTCACTTCCGGAAACTTTTCTAACAACCTACGGGATCACCCACGGATCCTCGTATTATGCTCGATTGTGTACCACCTATACGCACCGCTGCGTCCCAATGCGGAGGGTCGCTATGAAACATTTAATTCATTATTCAGGAGAATGAAAAATTCAAAGGCGTCGTGAGAGCGCCGACCAATGACGTTCACAGTCGCAGCAATTGCGCCGTGAAATGAGGATAAGTCCGAGTCCTTTTTCCGGAGGAATCTTTCGTTCTCGAGAGACAGCTCTTTCGGCGGTAAAGGTTGAGGGGCAGTTGTTTTGTTTATTTTTTTAACCTTCTTTATTTAATAAACGTACTTTCGATCATTCTCTACATGCGTACGTACTTTCGTACATTCTATCGTGATTTGAAAATTCAGAACCAGTTTATCAAATTGTTACGTGAAGCACGTGTTACTAAAGATATTGGATAATAATTACTTTTTATTTCAATTATAATTATGTTATACTACTGAAAGTATTTTGATTTTCTAAAGTGTATATTATTTTGTACGTTAATTTGTAATGAAATTTATTAGAGAGCGAAACATAAATCCAGCTTGAAATCTGTTTCGTCGTTTCTCTGATAAGCTACACGCTTCTGTTGTAGCTCGTATACACGCTCACTAGATCGATTCGGAGTACTGTTTTCACTCCGATGCGATTTCTCTATCTCTTTTTTTTATCATACGCACGAACAAATCTCGCTGCTCCCACGACCTCGAGCGCCGTGCCGACTGCGTGCGTACGTGCGTCAGGCAGCGACGAGGGTGTTCTGGGACTCCGTTGCTAATGATAATCAGCCCTCTTTCTCTTTTCAACCCCCCCCCTCCCCCCCCTTCGGCTGCCTACGTACCCCATGTACCGAGCACGGGCCATGTGCAATAAGGGTGCGGCACCGTCGGATTCCCCGGGGAACGGCGTGGCGTAACGTAAAATCATTATTAGGTAGGTAGGTAGGTGGTTGCTGGTGCACACGAGGGTGGAAAGAGAAACGGGTGGTTCGGGCGAGCGGGGGTCGAAGCGCCGCCGCTTACGGGGGTTGAGAATAAGAGCTCTGCAAATATTGTTCGTGCGCGAGCCGGCAACCCGGAATAGGCTACGAGGGGTCGGAGCGTTACTTCGCGTTACCTTCGCAGTTAGGCGAACGTTTTCGGAGGGACTAGCGGAAGGGAGGGGGGGTGACGGGGGAGAGGAGACGCGACGGGGGGTGCGACGAGTCAAGTGCACTGTCGTTGCAAGGGGTTGACGAGCGAAGTGACAGACTGGCAAGTGGCCACGAGTCTCTTCGATGAGAAAACACTGGCAGAATGTCTTTGAGAGGGGCGGCGGAATATTTTCAGAACGTCGCAGGGTGGCTTGACGAGCCGTGAGTTTTGATAACGTCAGTTGCGTGCGATATTGTCCGGTCTGATAAAAACAATGATGATACGTGATAGTTCATCAAGCCTATAAATATCTCATGCTATATCGAACTTGACTGCACTGTTGAATCCTTCCAGAAATAATGCGTGTTCTTTTCGAAATAATTTTGAACATATAATTATTATATTATTTTCAAGTACCGTAATTATTATTCCAGTAACGTTATTATTTTAGTATAAATAATGATTATAGAAAATTCAGTACATTTGCTTAATTAATTGAGCGCATTTTTTTAAAACTATATCATTCTCAGTGTTTCAAGTGTCAAATCAACGATTCTCGATTTTTTTTCGACGTCGATGTGTGATTTCAGAAGACATTATCGAAATCATCAACCCTCTGTCAGGATGATCAATTCGCGGTGTGTATGTGGTCTTATCTACACACGCGTGATAGTGTCCTGTTTTCACAATAAACACAACCTGTCCGTTGTTGGTATAAAGTAAAGTCGATGGGCCGAAGCAAAAGGAAAAAAGAGAAGAACGAGTGCATTCTGTGTACTTTTTGATCTTTTCATTGAATGTTTTTATTTCAGCCGAATATTCGGCTACACATTTGAGACGTCTATCGCGAATGGGCAATTTTTTTTCTAACAGTTGTTTTTGTGATCACTTTTATTTTGCAATATTTATCTAAATAAGAAAAATTTCAAGCATTGGGCTATTATTAAATAATTTTAAGAAATGTATTTTAGATTAAATTTTATTTAGATTTAATTTTATAATACAATAATGTACGCAAAATATGTATGGCTTTTTAAGTGAGATTTCAACAGATACAAAAATCATTTAACGTTACATGTGAGCCTTTAGAGAAAAAATATACTTCAGAGAAATATACATACGTCTATATTATGCGTCATACGCATCAAACAATATTCGTTGCGAAGGAAATTAAAGCCTTGTGAAAAACTCCGTAATACGATATCCATTAGAACACTCGCAATAATTGGGATGATTAATTGAATCGTCGAGGTCATCCATTACTTTACTATGTTTGGTTGCATGTAAACACAGACACATCAGAATCCCGGCATTATGTATTTACTAATGATTTCTGTCTAATGATTAAATTTGCTCGGGAAAATTAAATCTACGTGTAACTAAGCGCGCATTAATTCTTTAATATTCCATTATAATTATAAACTCTTAAACATTTTTTTTATCACACCTGCCTTTTGTGATATATTTTAATTTTACTTGAGAAGATCTTAAATAAACCATCTCATTACTTAGTTTTACACGTAATTTCATTGTTTCTTCCGGGAACGGCGCGCATGATTATTTATGCAGAATTGTTCTACAGAAGAAAAACACTTAGGAAATATTGCTGACTGGGTTAAAATGTCCGCGTATTTTTAACAAACACATTGGTTGGCACCGTGTTTGTAACGCGATTAATAATTATCCCAGGCACGAGTGCGCACTGTCCTTGTCTTTTCCCCTTCTCAAATATATATTATAAATTCAGTTGCGGCTGCGACGACGCGAATACCTGGTCGAACGCGGTTCCCTCGCCTCGAGGGTGCGGTTATCGTATACTCGTAGAGATACAACCTGTACGGGCACCTTTGCGGCCGCATTCATAGTACGCCTGTGAACTTCATCCCTACGACGTCCCTTCTCTCTTTCCCTTTCTCTTTCTCCTTTCTGCGCAGACAGACGGGGCTATTAGAGGTTTCCGGCTGACTTGGCGCCCTAAGCATCGGGGCGCCGCAACATCCCTCTAAGCTGTTTAAACTTCGCGACATGGTCGGAGGACCATCTACCCCTCTCCTCCCAGTCCCCCCTTATACGAGGGGCCTCAGCCCGGTCCCTTCTCGTCCCTCTTCGTCTTTATGGCTCGTTAGCGACGACAATGTACCGCCCTGTCCCAGCATATCGGACCACACGCGGTAAAAAGCATGTTTACACGGCACGTAGAACCGACACGTAAAAGCGATTTGTAGTTGTGTTAATCGCACGATT